GCGTAAATCTAAGGTATAGTTTACAAATAGCCTCACAGAATTCAGTGGATGCGTGGTTTCCGCAGTCAGAAATGAGAGAGATTATCGCCGTAATTGTTGTAGTCATTACTAATAACATTTCTGGGTGAAACAAGATTTAGCATTAAGTGGAGATAATTGTATAAGTCCTTTCTCATATATTTTTGTTTTCAACAATTTGGTTCAAAATATCCAGCCAATGGGTAATTATGGCAATTTGGTCCTAATAAATTACTGAAAATATATAAAATGTGTGAAATGACAGGAGATATTATTGCACTCGTAGGGTATGAGTGTACCATTGACTTAATTCTACTTACTGTTTTCGATGACAGATGGTTACAGTCAAAACTCATCAAATTAGCATAATGCATTATAATGGAAAGATTGTTATTAAGTTTCAAGCATGTAATATTGAAAATTGTATCTATATTTCAAACTCCTGTCACAGAATGCTGACCCTTTTAATTGTATTAAAACAGACGAGAATGCAATATAGTGGCTTCTTTTTAAAAATATTTGCATGCAAGACGACAGCACAGAGTTGTTAATATCACTGTTATCGCTCCTGACTCGTATACCGTATTTCTTCTTTGAACAAGCCTGTATTCACGCACACTTAGAATCAGAAAATCGTTCATTCAATGTACTTTCCCAGCGCCAACCAGACCCATTTTTTTTTTTTTTTCCTATGTGTAATTTTTGTAGTAATTACTGTATCATTAATGCAATTAATGTTATTTAAATTACTGATTACTAGGGTTCCCGTATTGAAGATCAAAGGAGCAATCCACCCCCTCCACCAAAGGCACCCACAGTACCAGATGAAGACTTCTTTAACCTTATACAAAGGTTACAATCAGGTCGACTCGAAGAACAAAGGTCAACGCTACCAGAAAAGAAGAAGCCAAATCAAAACGATCCAAAGTAAATATGTGATATAACTGGTATGGGTGGTTTTGTTAAGATTCATATTAATGTGCCGTTTATCAAGGGCAGATACAGATAAGGGTTTACAACTTGAGTGACATATGATTGAGATGTCATTGCACTCACATAAAGTCACACAATTCATGAGACATATTTCATGTTACCAAGAGCATATAAAGAAATGAATGTGCATCCTGGTTGATGTGATGATGTATATGTTTGTGATCAACACATCACCGACTGAAATCCTCCACCAATAGCGATATAAAGGGTATAAAAGATTATCAACATTGACTTTTTCACCACTAGAATTTCTTGCCCAAATTTGTCTGCACTTCTTTTTTTATATTCTTCGTTAAATGATCCCTAAATTTGGAGCTAACAGGAAAAATTTGAGTCAATTCTCAGTTTTTACTCAGGAAATTTGGCTATATTTTTCCCAATCTTCTGGAGGAAAGTGCAGACTATAAACATATTAACTATTTTTTGAATTTGTGATGAAAAGATGGAACTAGTGGTGAAACACATACATGTAGCCTGCTGTAATCCTCCATGGATAGCTGATATCGGCCAGTGATGTGTTAATACAACTTTTGTATACAAGTCGGGCACGTAACTGAGTGTCGTATGCACAGTCAATTTTTGTTTTGATCTGTGACTGTCTTTGATATATATATTTATTCTAATGATGGGTGACTTCATTAACCAATTTACATCAGGAATTTTATCAACGACATTGATAGTTGCATACCACTTTTTTATTTGCATCTTAATTCCCATTTACAGTATAGACAGTTACCAATGCTTTTTTTCACCATGGCCTAATTTATCAGTATTGAAATCAATTACTGTTACATAGAAGCCTACTTTGAAAAGCACATTTGCGACAATTTCAAATCATTCCTAAATCAAATTCTGCCATTCACTTGAAATTAGTGCATCTGAATTTCGTATTTGTTGAAGCTGTTCAAGATGAATTCAAATGATGTTATACTGAGTACACTGTATGCTACATTGAGAGAATTGTTTATAATGTGAAAATAAAATCACACTGGAAACTTGTATAGAATTAAATGTATATTTTTTGAAATGTTTTAACAATATTTAAGGTTCATATTAATAATAATGTGACAGAGAAATTTTTAGCTGTAAAAAATAATTCCAGCCAAGAAATCAGTGTAAAAATGGCAATTTTGACATGGCATTCAGACACGGCATAAACATTGTTTCTAGAAAATTTGTTGGTAACCCAAATATTTTTCTTTATTGTTAGTATTCTAATTAAACCCATAATAAAAATATGACATATACATGCAATTTTTAATTTGGCATCAACTGTCTTGACCTATTCACTACTTGACTTCCTTGCCCAAACTTTTCTGCACTTTTTTCTTGTATTGTTCAATATTACTGGACAGGGTCAGTAGCGTTAAAAGTCTTTGGATTTTTTGAGGTCTGGAAAATCTTTTAGTTGTCTTTAAATTACAGAAAAATTAAAAAACTTTGAAAAGTCTTTGAATTTCTTCGTAGTTATTAATTCATTTTAGAAAGGCTTGTTTTCTCTGCATAGAGTCTTTTTTTATAAAGTGTTTTCTACCCCAGTTCCAACAAAGTGTTGGCAGTGATTGAATTTTGATGAACTTTGGTGATGATGTTGGCCTGAATTAAGGGTCAAAATGTCTTGGGGGTGCAAGAAAGTTTGGGAAAAAGTCTGGAAAAGTCTTAAAAATCATTTCTCTCTTGGTGCTATGGACCCTGCTGGAAGTGAACCCTAATTTTCACTTTTTACTCAAAATATTTGGCTATTTTTGTCCCAATCTTCTGAAGGAAAGTGCAGACTATAAACGGGACTATTTTGTGATGAAAAGAGGGGACTGGTGGTGAAAAGGTTAACAGACGTGTTTATTTGAGCTCATCACTGTGCACATATTGTATTTACATATAATTTATTAGGAATCAGGTGGTTGTTGCCGTCCATGTCTGCGTTGTTGTCGTCGTCCATGTTTGCGTTGTTGTCGCCATTGCTAACATAGTGTGTGTGCGCTAAACCTGGGTCCTGTGTGACAACATACCACCACTAATGAACCATTTATGTTATTCTCTTTTGCAGGGGTAAACATTGAACACCAACTCCTGCATCGAAGTAAACTTGGAAGTGCACCATCAATTATATCATGAAATTTCCATTCCTGGTTTATGTGGCGCCAACAGTGACTGTTTATATACACCTTTCTTCTAAAAAGTGGTTCTGTTACTTTCATCTATATTTGAATTAATTTGATACAAGGAGATAGCAATTCCTGTTATTGATGTTAAAGGAAAACTTACAGAAATTTTACGCTGAACAGACAGCAGTGCATTATTGGCAAAAAGTCAAGGATCCCTTGAAGATATCATAATTATACTATTCTCTCATAAACAAGAATCGTTATTCGATATATTCAATATGAAAAGTCAATGTCAGTTTTTATTACCTCTCACAAAACAAATGCGCAAATCAAAATTGAATAATATGAATTATTATCCATTTGCTGCAAAATTGTACAAGAATGAATAACAAAAACTACTCCAGAATTATGGCTGGAAAAAAGGGGCTTTGAGATTAACGGTACCTATCTCAAATAAAACTGCTAAATTTCTCATCTTAGCTTGCAAGCAGTATTTTACTCCATGCATTTGGTCTGATGTTGCATCTATATTTTAAGAAACACAAGCATTAACCGATTCCAAAATTTCATTTAGTAAAAAAAAATATTTGACACATCTCCAAATGCACATTCTATGCACGCAGTAAAATTACCTTAAAACGATTTGCATTTAAAATAATCTGCATAACATATAGTTGCCTGTTCACCACCAGAATTTCTTGCCCAAATTTTTCAGCACTTTTTTCTTGTACTCTTCAATATTTCTGGAAATGAACCCTTATTTTGGAGCCAACAGACAAAGTTTGAGTCAATTCTCAGTTTTGTCTCAAAAAAATTGGCTATTTTTGTCCCAATCTGCTGAAAGAAAATGCAGACTATAAACAGAACTATTCTGTGAATTTGTGATGAAAAGAGGGAACTGGTGGTGAATAGGTGTGTATTTATTATCTAAGCAACGAACTGTACTAAATCTTGACATTAATGGGAATAATCTTTGCGGTATAAAATGTACAAAGAAAAAAAAAATTATATTTTTTTTCAAATGTTTCTTGTGTAGAGATATTTTCTTTGCAATATTAACACTCGGTGATGCTACTCATGGGACCAACATTCTTCTGGTTACTATGTAAACCTGTACAATGTTAATATTATCTAAGAACTTATGGTAAGTTCGCCGTTTTCCCCTCATATCCGTGGTGGCTTCAGCAGGGGATGGTGGTCTTGGCACCACAAATACACTAGATATGGGTTCCATACAAACAAAAATTGCTACGCTTACTAAATAAGAGCCTTTACCAAAGTTTATCAAAGTACCATAAGTGCTGAGATAATTAATGCATTAAAGGGCAGTGGTCATCATGCCATGCATTGCACAAGATATGGGTCTCGTATAAACAAAGACATTTCCAAATTTTAATTAGATATAAATTTCTTTGGTGTTTGGAAGGTATCGAAGGAGTCACCAGTGGTAATTAGTTCAAGTCGCGTCCAGGTCAAAACTCATTAGATTGTGGGAAAATTGATGTTTATCAACATAAAATGTCGCACATGCCCAGCACATAGACCACTGCCCTTTAAAGTTTAATAAGATGTCAATATTGGTATTTAGAGCACATTTTGTCTAAATCAAAACTTCATGCTTGCAATCCATTTTTATCGACACAAATCGCACATTGACACACTTGCAAGTACCATAGATGTTTAAATTCCTATTCCCACGTGTCATTGTCAGCAGTTGGCTGCTTGGTTTTTCTTTCTGTTATTTTAATGTCCAACAGATGACATGTACAGTTATGTAATAACTAACAGTAATATCATGTTTATGTAGTTGAATAGTGTAACTGAACAGCTGCTTATGATAGGTTTATTGGAGCCCCATCTCCATTGAACAGTGTAAGGTACATCTTGGTAGATTTTCATTGGTAAATTGCGCAATTTCCGTTATTTGATATTTTGACGACTCTTGTGATGATGCTGATGAAAAGTTCACTGCTACAAAATTCTCCCATAATCACCAAAATCTCAAAAAATGAAAATAAAGTGATTTGCAGTATTTCAAAGCACATGCGGGAATTGAGTCCCAAGCGACAATAACAACATGCGCTAAAATCGCAGTCTCATGGGTAGACGCTTGTTTGTAAATAATGATACACTATGGTCATCTGACACATGCGCAGGTGATGACTCCCCCGCTTTAACTTTCTGGTAATATTTTAAATCAAAATGATCAATAAAGTTGCTGAAGATAAAACTATCAGGATGGTGCAGACCCAGTTTTAGTTTTAGTTTTAACCTGAATGTTGATAAAAAAAAATTTAATCAAGTTGTCCGATTAGCTTGATTTAAAAAAGTGTGCGTATTTTATAGTGCGCCTTCAAGTTACCGTAACAATGTCATTTGATCTAAGGCAGCATGTGGTTATTAACTACAGTAATCTAGGGGGTCTCATTTATGCATCAGTATTGTATTGTAAAGAGGTGCCAGCCAACTAAATAAATAAATACTGTCACATCCACAGTGGGATATTTTAATATAATTACTGAATTTTAACAAAAATTGCCAGATTGTATTTAATAGTCAATTTGTTGGAATTACTCTCAAAAAAATATTTACTTTATAGGAAAAAATATGTTGTGTGTATGTTTTTAAAATTATTGTAAAGTTTTTAAAACCTCATTCCGAAATTCTCCCAGATACTGTATATATAATTATTCTTCACCTTTTATGGCATGTAATTTATGCTTTCAATGATCATATTCTAAAGTGACCACTTTTGTTCTTTTCTTCAGCGCTATTCGTATTTGTAAATTCTTTTCTTTATAGGTAATAACTTTGATACAAGTCAATATTACATGATGATTTCGCATCTATAAATAGCTTATTTGTATTCTGTTAATTGAATTTCCTTGTGTGTTTAAAATTTTTCAAAAATACGAGTAAATTTTTGTACATTTTGCCCCCTGTATGTGAAATTTATCTTCCAATTCAATGGATGTTGTTCTCTTGTTTATAAGACTGTAATTCCATGAGATCACATCTGGCATGCTAGGTGTGCATGCCTTTAACTTTATGTACCCCCAAGAAAAGACTATATAGACACAGTAACTGGAAACGATACACTATTGTTACCATGGCAACATCTTCAATATAAAATGTGTCTACATTATGTTTCAAACTGCTTGTTTTGTTTTTTTACAAGCATTATTTTTTTAACAATAAAAATCATTCCTCTACCAACATGTTAAGATAGAAAGACACCACAAGAAAGCTGACAATCATCAGACAGACAGACCGCCTGTGAAAAACAACTTTTTAGCATGGGCTTTTTAAAGTTTATATTCCCACTTTTTTAAAGATGTGTTTTTTTTTTTGTTTTTTTTACTGGTAGTTTGTAAAGAACAAGTTAAAGGCAAATTTTGTCAATTTTTGATCCACTATCAGCTAGCATATAAGTGATAGAAAAATCAATATTATTAAGCTACCGATATAAACTATATGGGGGCAGCCATCTTAAATATGGCTTGAAACTAAATACTAATAAACTCAAGTTATATTCAAGATGGCTGTCCCCATATAGTAAATATTGGTAAGTTGATCGCATTTATTTTATCATGATTTTGCCAGCTGACTGACTTAATCTGCTACACAAAATTGTCAAAAAATTATGTGGCACAGCTTTCAACTGGTTCATACCAAAAGCCAATTCCTTTTTTGTTCATCAAAATAAAAAATGAGCTTGCTTCTTCCCATCACTGGAGTAAACAGCTGTGCTAAAAAGTTGTAAATGAAATTTCAGAATTCGTGTAAGAATTCGCTTTTGGGGAAATGGTTGATGGTATATTGAATGTTCAAGGTTGTAATATTTTAGTTAAATAATTCATCAGAAAAACTAAATTCACCAGAAAGTTGTCACATGAAAATATCTCCAATTCCATTAGTATTTTTTAGACCTGAAAAAATAGTTTAGTTTCCTGTAATTTTCATTCCTGAACTTCAAGACAAACTAATTTTCTTTTTCTTTTTTAAAGTGTTGATATCATGCCATCTCTACTCAGCAGATTTATTAGCTTCCTCAGGTGCACAAGACCACCTAAGTATCTAAGTTTTTGTTAGTATACAGTACAGGTGAATGTGATATCTCCACTTTGGCGGAAAAATTATATAATTTTTTTAGTATTACATGTAGATTCCCAAGTGCTGACTTTTTAGTTTCAATAGTAAATGAGATAGCTGATGCTAGAAGCTCCTTGTGTTTAAATATTTGCTGACAGATGGTCTGCCTCTGTAGAAAGCTTATTTTTTAGCTCATGAAAGTTGTCAGTGTGATGTACTGAAAACTTTCACGATTAAATTCCCTGCAAAATAACCATATAGAAGAAAATGGCCCTTTTTTTTTTATCGACTGCTGCAGCCAATAAAGATGCACACATTTACTGTATCAAACTTACTCCTTGTTTTAAAGGTCATTTGCTTAAACATATTCAAATGCTCATCTACTTGTATATGCATATTATTCCTCTATAAAGTGTACACCCTTTACAAATCGTTCACTGTCCTTTCGTTCACCTGGTTTCTATTTCTAGCATCTGCCCTGTTGTCATTTACTAACTATTGAGGGCAGTATTCTCATGCTTACAACACTTCCACCTTATTGTAAATTCAATATTTTTAATTTTTTTCGTTTTTATTGCTATCATTTAGCTGTAGACTCACAAGAAAATACGTTTATTTTGTCTGAACGTCTTCAAGTAAACTTTATAAAAACATTAACATCGTGTGATTTTAGTTCAGCTGATGTGTGAACATTCAATTTTCAACGAACTTGCCAAGTGTATTTGAGTTCTGTGCATGTGCAATTTTTTAAGTCGATATGGATTTCTCCAAGTCCCTACAAATTTTGGAATCCCAAACATAATTTGGCAGCCTCAATCAATGCTTACCATGGATGCTAGTTGCGTGTATGTGTGACTATTTTTGTCACAAAATTCAAATTTATGGTGTATTTTTGATGTGATTTCATTGCTCACAAACTACCATTATACTAAAGTTAAAGCGCGGTAGTCATCGCACAATCCAAAGCGTTCTTCAAATGGAAATCACAAGTATAAGGTTTGACCTCGGTGCAACTTGCGCTGATTACCGCCGGTGACTCCTTGATACCTTCAAATAACATGAAAATTACCTAATTAAAGCTTGGAAACGTCTCAGTTCGTACTTGTTTATCTGCGCAACAGTCAAAGTCGCCATGTTTGTTTATATGAGACCCATAGATCTTGCACATGCGAGGAAGACCGCGCTTTAATGATTGTCACCTAGGAAGTGTAACCCCAAGGGACAAAAAAAGGCACATCAGACTTCACAAATTGAGATCTACAGGTAAACTGGCAAAGTTGGGACTACTTTTTTGTTTTACAAAAAGAAATAATTGTTTTGAGTCCTTTTACCGTGATCGCGAAAGAAATTCGTGGTCACCCTAGTTTTTGTGATCACGCTGAAAAGGCTAAACCATGGAAGGTACTAACATTGGTACGAAAACTTACCAATTGTTTTACGGAATCCAAGTCTACCGTCTGCTTCTCTGATCTGTGTGATGCGCAACGTATAATGAAGCTCCCTAAGCTGTGGAATGTTAAACAAATATCCGGATTTTCACGCTTTCAACTTAGGTGGGAAGATTTTAACAAAGGTCATTGACATAAGCAAATCAATACATTTCTATAATATTTTGGAGACAATACAAGTCCACATGGATATTGTTATAGAACTTATCATTAGCCACAGTCATGTAAACAATGTATTTTTTGTGTACGTTGCATGGGACTCGCCCAAGAGCGGCACCGGAATATAAGATGGTTGTGTAGTTTTTCCATACGCACATATACAAGTCTTACTATTGTTGTGACAACACACATTGGATTAACTTTTAATATAGTTGAATTAACTTTTAGTATAGTTGAGATATGAACTCGATTAAAACGCGTTCCTATATAGGGTGGCGTTTTAATTGGAGTTTAATTTAATAAAAGTTGAATATGCCATGACTGAACATAGAAATGTTTGCAAAGCTTAGGTTTAGTAAAGGGGTAGGTATAGTACAATTATATTAATATAAATATAAATTGAACAAACCTTCCCTCTAAACCTGAGCTTTGCAAACTTGACTTAAATTCGATCAAATATTAATAAAAATTATGAAAATAGTGAGGGTCGTCACAATATTGGTCCTGTCGCCTCAACGTTGGTAACACAACACCCCCCCCCACACACACACACACACACACACACACAAGCGTGCATGTCTTCTTGGCCCCCAAATCCTGGCCAACATGTTAGTAACATTATCTCTGTGTTCTATTAAGGTGCATTCACATTAAAGGACAACACAAGAGGAATGGTATCTAGTAAAAGTGACCCACCATGTTAGTAAACTATAAATGTCAAAGAAACTGACGACGACTTTTCATTTAGTGTTTCAATGTATATTGAGATAAAAATCAGACAAATGACACCGAATCTAAAAATAAATTGACATGAACATTTTCCCAAGACATGACTCCCGCTATTTCTTGCCTTAATTTGTATAAATTTTGCTCAAAATCTGTCCAAGCATTACAGAGAAATAACCCATGGACACACAAACAGGTCCAATTATACAAGTATCCGTTTTAGAACTATTTCAATTGTGGGGAATGATACAATAACAAAGCAGAAGTGATTTTATTAATTTATTCATGAAAATGTACAGCAACTATTCTATATCATTAAATGAAACGAATTCCGTGGCAGTTCTTTTAAACTATATCCCCAACCAAGCTGCTAAAGTTGAAATCTACAAGAGATAGAAAACATAAACATAATTCTAAATTAAAAGTAATGTACAAAATAGAAGTTCCTGAATTAATGTGATATAACTGACGAGTAAGTGGCTATATCACGATGGATAGAGTGTACCGTAGTGAGAGCTGTTGAAGCATTAGGCCCCGGCATGTACGCAATTTGACTAAGCGTATGTACGTAAGGCGATGAGATTATATTGGGGTTGTTTTTGAAGTAATTTTCCGAATCCTTTCTGATCCTTTCAGATGTCTTAAAAAGAAGCTTACTCATTATTTTTGAGAAAGTTGGTTATAAACCTCATGGACGTGTTCATTTGTAATAATTTCCGTGGCAACGGTTAACAGTATTCTGCTATGATGTACAGCGCCGTATTTTGTATAAATAAACACGATATAGACGATCACCTTTTGAAATCCATATTTTTTAAATACTTGAGGATAATAAGTAGAGACGTATCAGTCACGATATGTAATTTGTTCACCCTATGTTACCAGGTTGAGTAATGGCGTAATGACTTCACCATGGAAATCGAAGGTAAAAACGTTTAATAACCACAAAATGAATGCCATTCACTAAAATATAAAGACCATTTTCAAAAAAAAAAAAAAAAAAAAAAAAACCTGGCCAGTGAGTCCAGAAGTCAACATCCTTAATATTGGCTCGGAGTACAATTTATTGCAAAATTCTGTTGTTTTTTTACACATAACGTCATTGAGTGGGATTTTTACATTAAGGCGAGGGAGTCGTCACCTGCACATGCGTCAGATGGCCATAGCGTTTCATTGTTTACAAACAATCATCTACATCTGTGATGCTCTACGGGTGCGAAAGCTGGACTATGGCAACAAAAATAACGAAGAAAATAAATTCATTCGAAATGAAATGTTATAGAAGACTCCTTGGTATCACATGGCGACAAACAAATTGGAACAAAGAGGTACGGATGAAACTAAAAGACTAGCTGAAAGAAGGGTAACAAATAGAACATCTAATTGAAACAATTAAGAAAAGAAAATTGCATTTTTTTGGAAACCAATCGAGGAAAAAAGTCTAACAAAACGTATTATGCAAGGGAAGGTTGAAGGATGCAGAAACAGAGGACGGCCAAGAAGAGAATGGGGGGGACGACATCAAAGAATAGACAGAGAATGGAGTGCAGCTTTACCATCTTGCTGATGACAGATTGGGCTGGAGGAGGTGCGTCTGGTCATGGGTGCACCAACGGCCTCTTGAAGCTATGGACTAAAGAAGATCTACCCATAAGCCTTTGCCTTTTTAGTGTGTTTTGTTATCATCGCTTGGTGGATGACGACCCTCCCGTTTTAACCAGCAGAAGCGTAGCTTTTGTACGTGCTTTATTTATTGGTAAATAATAAATATAGATGAAATATACTTAAAAATTCCACTCGCCTGTAGATAACTGGTTACTCGTATCTTTAAAGTGTTTCAAAACACAAGTTGACTGGTGGTGTTGGTATCTCTGGTTCATCATCACCGGAACCATCTGTCTCACAATCTAAATTCAACGAGAAACGTTATGTTGTAATAGTTCGGGAACTTAAAGTTCAAACCTTCTCAGCTCAGTTGAGCTGCAAACATACCAAACAAGCATTTCAAAATTATAACAGTTCGTGAATCTTTAAAAATATCAAACTTGTAAATAAAAAGAATCTGATACGTTTCTTTACCATCATTTAAGTTTTCTAACATACACCGTACAGGCACATGTGTTAAATATTTGTAAGTTTGATCTGAAAAATGTCAGAAGTGTATAGTAGTCTGTTATTGGTCATACTACAAAGTGTTGCACCGTGACGTCACAGTGTGTTTGTTTACACTTACCTACTTCGTAATTGGGCAAATTAGCGTCACTGTTCGAGACGCCTTCACCCATACACAGAATACATTTGTCGTTCACTACGATATTTCTGCTCATATCTAGGTGACAGTTATCATCGTTAAGGCTTGCAATGATGTCCGCATTATTAGTACATCCCTGAAAAAAAAGCATTTGGTAGAGGCAGTAATTTCTTTTCCCGTGATTCAATGAAATATGAAATGAAACATTTTTTCAACGAGTCATGGACACGGCGCGACGATCACCATCCTTCAACAAATGCATAACTAGAGGTAGTACATGTCCTGAGAACAACTATATACCATGCCTACAACTGAGGTTGCCCTCACTGAAACTGGGATTCGGGCTATCGCTAAGGGAAACCATGAACACAAACTTCGTAAATAAATAGTCTGAATTTATGCTGGAGTAACTTGATAAACGCATGAAAACACTGCCATTTTACTTATTTCGGTTTTCACGAACGGTAATGGTAGCAGATGACCCAGATGTGAGCATACATGCAATTGTAGCATCTGTAATTTGTATTCAATGCAAATCCCGTTGAGAAACAAAGACATGATAAAACAAAACGTAATCAAGTCAGACAGGCGCTTATCGAATAATTAAGTGGTCCATACATCATAACATCACCGGCATATGTACACTCTGCTAATAGTAAGTTCATAACTACTATGTCTTACCCATGCTCCTTTGCATCCCTTGATGACTTTGATTTCGCCGTTTCCGGGTTGTTTTACAAACTTCACAAAGCATTGATCCTAAAATTAAAGCATATCTTTCGTTTGACTTCGTTTATTTTACAATCTAAGCTTTTTTTCTGATACTGTTTTTATATTTCTAACGTTACAAACGCGAAAGCGTAGTTGCACGCTTCATTAAAGAGCAAACTAGTAACACAATTTGCATATCGCTATTATTGTATATAAGATTCACAATCATCATATTCTGTTAAAATTACAAGACTAGATTCGTTCGTCTTCTCTAAGTCCAAATATTTTAGAAATATATAAATTGCCATAGATATTTGTCGTAATCGTGAATTTATAAGTCATTTTAACTGTACATAGATCCAGATTTGTTTTTGTTTGTTAGCCATATTTATATGATACGTTATTAGTTGTACGCCGTTGCAGAGTGTTTACAATACACCTTCACAATAACTAGTGCCCTCTGGCGACAACATGCGTCTGAGACGTCAAAATGACGTAATAAGTGAATGGGAGCAATTTCGTTTCAACAGATGACTCTGTTTGTTTATCTAGCTATCAACTAGACACAGCAGTTTTGCAACCACAAATAATATAATATCGACGCTGTGAATGGCATCACTTATTGACGTCACGTGTGTGCTTTGTCGCCAGAGGGCGCGACCAAAAGAAACTGAACTATAAACCACAATGCTCTCGTGAATATTGTAATCTTCCAACAACGGAACTCTCCGGTTCACTACTAAGGCATAAGAAACTGCCCATTTCTGAAGAAAACTGTCGGTCTGCGACTCATTGAAGGAAGGAACTATGAAGAGTGGTATGACAGAAATAAACGTACGTTCTTAACACTAGGTCACATGACCCAGGGTTGTATAATAATTGAATGTATCGTAACTTACAGTTGGTTTATCGCATGTTATTGTTTGGCTGCAGTCGTCTTGTCCCCCTCCACACGATTGGCACACCATGTCTGTGGAACGACACAAAGAGTAAATAAAATGACAACAGGAATACGTACGGCAGACGATAATTTTCAGTGTTCCACATTTAAAAGAGGAATCACTGGCATGTAGGGGAATAGCGGGGGTAGACGCATTAAAGCTGCGAAGTTATTCCATGTGACTAGATATTTAAAAGTCGAAGAAAAAAACCTAATTGGGTAACATTTGTTTTGAGTCTATAGTCGTTCATCAATGTTTTGCCAGATTTCACTATATTCTTGGCGCCAAACAACTACGATGACAAACAGAATTGCCGATTTAAACGACTTTGCCTTCACTCATTACGTCATTTTGACGTCATAGTATGTATTTTGTTGTGCATATTTTCACTGTTGTTCGTGGGTATCAGAGGACTTCATCGGATGCGTATCAAGAACCAAGAAAAGAAAAACACGAATTCTCCACTATATAAGTTCTGTAAAAGTACGCAGTAACAGGAACTCACTCGTGCCACCCTCTCGTCTGCTACGGGTATTCTGCAAAACAAACAAAAATGTAAAACAGCGCCCTCTATTGTGATAACATAACTGTTTTAGGCCTAACAAAATCCGAGTTGTAGCTTCGAAGTAAAAAACGTTTTCAGTTTTCTGCTACGTTGGCGTGTATTATTGATCGATAACTCAGAGCTATGCGACAACTTAATTTTGTCATGTATGGCTGATCGTGCAGGTAAATATTGAAAATGTAAAGCTTGGTAAATATATACATTTACTGTATAACTGTTGGAAGGTGGTTATTGCTTACCTCAATACTAGCAGACAGTGCATGACCCACACACAGCAATAAAACTAAGCTTATTGTCCGCATCATGGTGGTAACTTGTCGACTGAAAAACAAACAAATAAAATAAAATAGATAAATCTCTGTATGAAACTTGTGGCACAATTCATTAACCCATGCATGTTACACAAATCGTCACCACGCGAGACCACTCTGTTTCACTTTCAGATGGTGACTAGAAAATGATCACAAAACGTCGGTAATCTTGAACTAGCTGCAAAACACATTTAAATTATGCCATGTCTGCTTGTTCAATTTACACACTTTCAATTATCCGTAAAATGTAATCAATAATTATTGTACTTTTATTTATGGTACAAATAAATAGCAAGGTATTATTCACATTTTTTTTAGATACGGATAACATGCATAAACAATGTCTAGTGCTACGGGTCGTCCCCACCCACGATGAATGAACTGAAAGAGACATATTTTGATATTGTATCGACGTTACAACTCTCCTATACATAATGATTATAATGTATCGTAAACTAAACACGTTGTATCGGCCTCGTACACAATAATACTGGTACGTACTATAAATTCGATGCACATGCGCGCTTGCATTATCGAATTTTACAGAGTGTGATGTAAAGACAACGTAAAGATGTGAAGATTTTCCTCAGTTCATCACAGGTGATCAAACAACACCAACCAAACTGGCATTGATTTGCTGGTAAATCCTGATTGTCGCATACTAAAACTCTCGGTACCCCCTCTTATCAATCGCAAGAAAATATTTCTTTAAGTTACTTCAACTAGCAGCACCATAAACACAAATTAGCTAAAATGCATGCAAGCTGATAATACATGTTTCACAACAGTGTGGGTAAAAGCGAACATACCTGTTGTTCCCTTGGCCAAACATACACTATTTTTTTTTACTGATTTGTTTTATATACAACTCTTTAACAAAGAAATCATTGAACACATAATTTACAACAGCGTGACAGACTGTTATCAGTTGCCAAGTGAAGTAGCTTTTATTTTCCCACAGCCTCTACACTGTTGAATAGACCAACGTATGGGCAGATTTTTGAGGAACATGTTGGAGTGGCGTCAAACTCCATGTGAAAGCAAACCACTTGTTTCGTCTGAGGTCACAGCTTATGATTGCTCATGCACCCAGAGAAGCGTTTCTCGGCCTATGACGTCATTTGACACGTGATTACGCAATAACACGATAATTATAATGTACATATCTTAAAGAACTAGGTCACCTTCAAATCACTCGTATGTCACATGTCTAACGAGTACTGTCTTCATCGAACAGCTAATCGATTCAGTCAACTGATACTTGTATGTATACATTCAAGTTCAAAAAATATAATGCGAAGTGACATTTTTGGAATGATCATATTATCGTCACAACTTCAGCCAAGATGCACTATTTGTAGGAGCTTGTTTTCACTTTCCAAATCATTCTGTCTCTGTTCTCATATCATGGTAAGGTTGCAGTTTCACACACAAAAAGTCAATTTTAACCATATTTTCCATGTGTACAAGGAATTAGATGCAAATAGTATTTTAGTTTTAGGACATTGACAGTATGCAATTATTATCATGAACAATTCTCTAGTTACATTTTTTTAAATAATTGTTGACAATTTAGAGGTCAAAATGTGTGGCGAAAAATGCAACTCTACAATATATACAATAGAATTGCTTAATTCTCGTTGGAACATGAATTTAAAAGTAAACCAAATATTGGTAACTGTTTTGTGCCAAATTATCCCGGGAAATAAAATTCTGGGTTAGTTGTCCAAATTGTCATCTGTAAATTTTAATGAATGATATAATAAATGTTTGTTTTTAATCACTATAAATATTTTATATTAGATCCAATTATTGTCGTAAACTTTCGCATCTTTGCAAACCCATCATCGTTGTAAACCGATGCATTTTTGCGGTATCTGAAGTTCACTACAAGTTTGAAGTGAAACGACAGAATGTGCGAATGAATGAATGAGTGAGTTGTGCATAAACGTGGGTCGTGGCAAAAAATGTGTAGAAAGATAGAAGTGAGCAACAACGTATGGCCAGTGCATTTTAAACTGTAAGTGTTTTAAGTGTGTTGTTTATTTCGTAAGTGCTTGCTTTTTTTTTGCTTTGCTGAAAGAGACATTTTCTACAATGAGAATGCCATTTGACTATTCCGTGCTATTAAAGCAAAGACATATGGTTCGCTCGTCACTTTTTTCATTATTTTCATAATAATTTTATGCACAACTCCATAATTTGTCATTAACAAAATTTCATACTTGTCACGGCAAAACTCCGTCTGTCTCGTCAAAACTCACCGTTGCTCGCGGCGGAAATTGACAATATATACCATAATTGCCGGGCCCTTTCTCAAAGACTGCAATTTACCGGCTTATTGTAATCAAAGAAACGAAACGAAAAAAAAAAAAACGGGTTGACAAACATAATAAAAAATAAACTGTAATCAGAAAAATGGGTTTTATACGCACAATATTTACAAAATATTTGCCGAAAATAACAATATTTTAAATAGTAAATGGCTCATTTCGCTAATTAAAGATAATCAGTAATCTGTAATCAACGAAACAAGTGTCCTATACGTACAGTATTCACAACTGTCGGACAAAACTTGGCCAGTATATTCACCTTTCAGTCGTGTATGTAACTACATAAAATATTTGCCGAAAATAACAATATTTTAATTAGTAAATGGCTCGTTTCCCTAATTACAGAAAATCAGAAATCTGTAATCAGCGAAACAAGTGTCCTACACGTATATTACAGCCAAAACAAAGTCAGCTTGGGCTTTCAGTTGTGAGACATGACAAAACAAACGCTACTATTGATAGATTTCGAGAAAGAAAAAACGCGTCGGAAATAAATGGAACACGTCACGTTTTTTGTACACGACACTTTATACCGTGGTCCGAAATCCATGGGTTTATACAGAGATCAACTACTGCGATTTAGGAATTTAGAGGTAGACCATTATAATCTCTGGGTGGGCTGATGGCAGACAATTTTTTTTTCATGATTTTAACGACTTGTTTATAATCTGAATATGAAGTATATCGCCCTCTAGCGACACAGTAAGTCTCAGAGTGAAAGGTCAACGTTATTTTCTGTTTCCTGTACATTCGCATTCGAACTGGAGATGTCTCGATGGATCTGTTTTCTTTCAAACGTCCACCTAAATTTGCCGGTTAATGAATAAAAACCGGACGTAGTGAAACTTAAACAAGCACGTATGCCATATGGTTGAAACAAATAATGCCGGTCCTCGTTTCTAGGATAATCATCGTGAATATCGCTATTTTTCTGCTTGCGTGCAATACTGGTAAGTTAGAATTTGAATGCATTCAAACGGCATCTTCACCTCCATAGCGTCAACAAAAAAATACCGTGTGTTAACATTTCAACTGAAATTTGAGTTGAATAGCCTTCCAGTTTAATATACAAGAATGTACAACAGTGGTTTCCAACATAATGGGCCACGTTTGTATATATATACATGGGGAGAATCGCGTGATTCTGACAGAGGGGCCTGACGATCCAAGTTAATATGGCTGTCTTTGCCTTTTCCTCTTCCATTTTTTAAAATGATTATCATTGTCATTAATAATTTCGAAAGCGGAGCTAAGGTAGCTTTTAAATGTTAAGTTAAAATGCTTGGACCGTATCCACCAGACATGAGACAGGAAACGTTTGCCTCATGATTTTTTGTCCCAGGTTTTTTACTCTCATGAAACAAATTGTCTCACCAAAATGTAGAATAGAATTCAAAGATAATAAAGATTTGAGTACATTGTCTCTACTGTAAGGGAAACAAAATACTTCATAGATGGGTAATTCATACTTTCTAAACTAATGGAACAATTCCACCCCACTAATTTATTTGCTGGAAAAACACTGCGTACTGTATTCTGCTACTGTTTCTTTATTCACACTGCAGGTACACAAGGAATAATAGAAGTCATTGTATTAGAGGGAACTACAGACTTCCAACTGATGTGTCCAGAAGTTCCTAAAACTGTTAATATTGTGTCATATAAATGGTTCTATAATCAGGTAATTGAAGTGACGTAGTCGTTGTACCATGCATAGTTTGCTGCAGGACTTTACTTTACATCTGTAACCAGTAATACCAAAAAAGGCATGTGCTTTATCAGCAAAAACATTGAAGTGCTACAGTTGTCGTGCATGTATTTGAATTTCGCATAACAACGTATTTTATTTTACATGTATATGTCACTATGGTTACCATATTGAACATGACATGGTGCAACAACTATAGCGATTTAAACCCTTCAGTCGTTTGGTGGACTCTGGAGTAGATGAATTATCCAGGACCTTATGTTTTAATCGTTTAAACTTTCAGCAAATTCTATAATGATGTTGTGAGTAAAATGGCATTTTGATTGCTACAAAATTTTTTCACTTCTATAATTTAATTTGTTTTGCTGTGTGATTTGACATTACATCTATAGCCCGTAATACCATGTGCTTTATATCCAAGTCTCAGAAACATGAAAGTGCTACAGTCATCTGAATTTTGTTCTGAATTTTGCATAAACAAACAATGTATTTACATACGATGTATATATCGCTATAAGTCCTATATCGAACATGACGTGGTGTAACTGTAGCGTTTTAAACCCTTCAGTAACTTGGCTGAATTATTCAAGACTTGATGTTTTAATTGTTATAACTTTCAAGAAATAGCTATTCTGTAAATAAACACTGCTACGGAATGTTATTATTTTATAATTCAATGGCGTTTGCGAATAAAATTGTGTCTTGAGGATCTGCATGGAATGTTGATTGCTACAAAAATTTAACTACCTGCAGTATGTCAGAAAAAATCACGCTTTTCCGTACTCAAATTTTCTTATTCACTCTAACCTAGGATTACAAATGTCTGTAGTAAAATAAAAAAAATACTGTGTTCCTGGTAACCTGACCTTGCCTAGATTTCGTGTGTGACTCTTTCTTTGACCAAACTTGA